ATTAAATGAATCAAACGAGTTAAACAAATTAAATACATCTAATATACCAGAAGATATATATAACCTAGATGCTGAATTAGATTCAAGTTCTCCTGATCAACTTTTGTCAAGTAAAGTTACTGTTACTAATAGTTTAAGTAAAAGAGTTCAAAAAAAAAATACTTTTATCTATTTCAAAAGATCGAATCTGAAAGAAAGTTGGGTATAGACTTATTTTAAGTGAAATAAAATTAAAAAAAAAATATATTGCAAAGTTATAGTTACAGATAAGAATGGTTTAGAAAAAGAATATAGTAATGACTATAAATTATCAACTAGAACAGGCAATTTAAAAGCTTACCTTTATCAAATTTACAGAATTTTGCCTCTTAAAGAAAATAATCAGAATCAATCAATTAAAATAGCTTCTAACCAACTATCATTACACAATTTTATAAATAAAAAGACACCCTTACCTACTTCAAAGCAAGATAAAATCACAAATTGTATTTTAGCCTAGATCGTTGATAATCTTTAACCATTTAATGCTACTACAAATAATTGCTTTTGCGATATGATTCTTGAATGTGAGCTAAGGTTTGAGTTTCCCTGCTATGATAAATTAAAAGAAAAATTAATACAATCAGTACTTTTTGCTAAACAATAGCTTAAAAAACTACTACAAACAACAATAAATTTCTTTTGTTTTACAACAGACCTTTGGTCTCAAATACACCAACCTTATATTGCTGTAACTATTCATTAAATTAGTCCTGAATTTAATTTATATCAAGCATTACTTACAATTCAAAAATTTGATTACTTTTACACTGGGGATCAAATTGAAGATTTTTGTCACCAACTTTTTGACAAATAGAAAATATATGAGAAACTTTTAGTGCTTCAACAGATAATGCTGCTTTAATAATTAAAGCTATGAATCAACTTGATATCGAGCATATAAGTAAAACTACCTTGAATTAGTACGATTATTAAACTTTGTAAATCTTATGAATCCTACATATCACCATTGCTAAAGCAATAGTGATATGCAGAATTTATGAGATTTACAAAATTCAATGATTGCACTAATTCAAAAACAATGATAATTCTTTAATTCTATCTATAAAAATTCTAGTAAACCAGATTTTAACCTTTGTACAAAATTTAATTCTTATCTAGGTTGTATCATGCATACAATACAACTTGCGTTGGGAGATAGATTTGATGATACTAAAGTTAGTAACTTAATAAGTAAAGCAAAAACATTAAATAGTTATGTCAGTGATAAAGATAAATACCATGAAAGCCTTTGTGAATTACAAGCTAAATTAAATTCACAACACCAAGTTAATCCTCTTTCAAGTGATACAAGAACTCATTAGAGTTCAACTTATAATCTTTTAAAAAATTTTTTTCTTCTTGTAATACTATTATAAGATTGGTTAATAACTTAAAACAA